AAACTACTGCTCCATAATTGTTGGAAATTGCTTGTGTCTTTCCATTCGGAATCTGTGCAGCAGTGTGGGGGTTTGTCCTGCTTTGCCGTGTGTGTGTGTGTGTGTGTGTGTGTGTGTGTGTGTGTGTGTCTGTTCTTTGGTCTGGGCTGGGTATTGGATTCTGTCTGAAGTAAAGCAGGTAGAGCTTTTGATAATTTGAAAGGAGGCCAGAACACTTGACATAAAAACATTGTAAAGATTAATTGGTTATATCGCATCTGAAGATAAAAATAAGCAAGGGATAAGTGTTATAAGAAAAGGGAAAAATTACTTGGCATGCATTCAACTAATTTTAGTGCTTGGACCACGAATGCCTGGTGTAGCAAATGTAAATATGAAAACACCTCATCTTGCAGAGAGACCCACCTGTAAGGTACCAATTAGAACAAAACATGTGGCAGGCCTTGGCCACACAGCAGGGCCCCCAGTGTCTCCTGGAGCAGGAGGGATGATTGAAGATGCTTTCTGGAGAATAAAATCTCAGATGAGTCTTGGAGGTGCAAGTGCCCAGGACACCACCTGTGGACGAGCTGAAGGGTTGGGGACAGTAGGTGGTTTAGGGAGGGTGGAGAGTCCCATGCAGGGGGCTGCTTGCAGGGGGCTGCTCTGGAGGTCTGAGTGGGGAAGTGTGGAGGTCTGAGTGGGGAAGTGTGGAGGTCTGAGTGGGGAAGTGTGGAGGTCTGAGTGGGGAAGTGTGGAGGTCTGAGGGGGGTGGGGGGGGGGGGGGGGGGGGGGGGGGGGAGGGGGGGGGGTCTGAGTGGGGAAGTGTGGAGGTCTGAGTGGGGAAGTGTGGAGGTCTGAGTGGGGAAGTGTGGAGGTCTGAGTGGGGAAGGAAGGGATTCATGAAGCCTCCTTTGCAGCGTGAATCAGGAGGTGCAGCTGGGGAGGAGAGGGCATGTCTCCAGGTGCGTCTCCAGCCTCCAGGGTCAGTAGAAGAAGTCTGAGACCCAGAAGTGAATCTGGTCCTTATCTGCTTACATCCATTCTTACCCATTTATGAACGGTGGTAAAGCTTTGGCTGTGGCTTGGGCATCATTCGCCAGGGCTGATCCTGGGAAGAGATAATTAAGGAGAACCAGTGGGCAGGGGGAAAGGGCTCAGGACATCATGGTCAAGGAAACTGAAGGTGTCTGGGATGGGTGGCAGCCTTCACTGCTCTGAAATGAACTGAGGATAGAAGGATTGAGATATTTCTGTGAAATCAACTTTTTTTTTTCCCCCAAGACAGGGTCTCACTTTTGTCACCCAGGCTGGAGTGCAGTGGTGCTGTCTCAGCTCACTGCAACCTCGACCTCCTGGGCTCAAGTGATCTTTCTGCTTCTGCGCCGCATCCCCCCCGCCCCCGAGCCCCCGGCCCCACCGCTGCCTCCCCGCCGCACCCATGTAGCTGGGATTACAGGCACGGGCCACTGCCCTGGCTAATTTTTTGAGATGGGGTTTTCACCAGTTTGCACAGGCCGGCCTCAAACTCCAGAGCTCAAGCGATCTGCCTGCCTTGGCCTCCCAAAGTACTAGGATTACAGGCATGAGCCACCGCACCAGCCTGAAGTCAACGTTTTAAACTGACTCGAAAAAAGGTTTGAAAGAAAAAACTGAAAAAGCAGATAACCATGGAGTGATTTGAAAGGTCTGCCAAAAGGTGCTACCCACCCAGAAGGCAATAAGAGAATGAATGGATGCTTCCATAGCATGGAATACTGTTTTCAGTAAGAAAGGGACTACTTTGTCTGCTTTGATAAGCAGCTTAATCCTACAGCCAAAATGAGCCAGTACACTTATTTGGGATATATAGCACAGTAAAGAAAAGTGCACATGGGTTGGGCAACTGGTGGCTCACAGGTGAGCTTTGTGGACTCTGGTGGCAGCAGTGCCTGGAGTCTGAGCTGAGGACTGACCCAGGTGTTCACCAGGTGTCTAGAAAGAGGCAAGAACAGGACAACAAGGACATGGAGTTTAGTAAGGGTTAAATTCTCTTCCCTCCTTTTTTAAAAGTAAGTAAACACTTAACCACAAGGAAAATTAAACAGTTACTCATGTCACCATTTAAACTCAGTATTTTGGAAATTTCACAGTCTTTTTTTTTTTTCCCCAATGCATTTTATGGAAGTGAGAGTCACACTGTATATCTATTTTTTCGTCTGGTACTGTCATAACTGCATCATGTTACAGTGTAGTTCCATAGTCATATTTAATGGCTTTCTGATTTCATCAAATGGCTGTATGACAATTTATACAGCAGTTCTCTAATTGTGGGACATTTTGGCTTATTCCTTTTTTTGTGTGTGTGATTATAAATAAGGCCATGACATTGGTGAGGGCACTTTTGCTGTATGTTTACTGATTTCCTGAGAATAAGAAAAAGACAAAATCACGTGGTCCAAAGGTATAAGTGTTACAGGAAAGGGGTCGCGATCCGGACCCCAAGAGAGGGTTCTTGGATCTTGCACAAGAAAGAATTCAGGGTGAATCCTTAAAGTGAAAGCAAGTTTATTAAGAAAATGAAGGATTAAAAGAATGGCTCCTCTATAGAGAGGGCAGTTCTGAGGGCTGCTGGTTGCCTGTTTTTATGATTATTTCTTGATAAAACGCTAAGCAAGGGGTGGATTATTCACACCTCATCTTTTTATCCCATATAGGTAACTTCCTGATGTTGCCTTGGCATTTGTAAACTGTCATGGCGCTGGTGAGAGTGTAGCAGTGAGAATAGCCAGAGGTCACTCTTGTGGCCATCTTGGTTTTGCTGGGTTTTAGTCAGCTTCTTTACTGCAACCTATTTTATCAGCAAGGTCTTTATGACTTGACTTTGCTGCAACCTTTTTTATCAGCAAGGTCTTTATGACCTGTATCTTTTTTTTTTTTTTTTTTTTTTCCTTGAGATGGAGTTTCTTTCTTGTTGCCCAGGCTGGAGTGCAATGGCATGGTCTCAGCCCACTGTAACCTCCATTTCCAGGGCTCAAATGATTCTCCTGCCTCAGCCTCCCAAGTAGCTGGGATTACAGGCACGTGCCACCACACCCAGCTAATTTTGTATTTTTAGTAGAGATGGGGTTTCACCATGTTGGTCAGGCTGGTCTTGAACTCTTGACCTCAGGTGATCTGCCTTCCTCTGCCTCCCAAAGTGCTGGGATTACAGGTGTGAGCCACCATGCCTGGCGCATGACCTGTATCTTAATGCTGACTTCCTCTCATCCTGTGACTTATAATGCCTTAACAGTCTGGGAATGCAGCCCAGTAGGTCTCAGCCTCACTTTACCCAGCTTCTGTTCAAGATGGAATTACTCTGGTTCCAATGCCCCTGACATAAGCAGTTTTTATTTTTTTAATGAATAATGACTCTAGTTAATAGCTTTATTTTAATTTCTCCCTTTTCCCTGCTTTCTTGCCACTTTTATTTATTTGGTCATATATTGCTGTCTTTTTTTTTTTTTTAAATCAAGTTTCCTCCTCTGTTTGAAGAGAGATGTGCTTTTATGGAATTAGCGACATTTCCCTTCTTGAGAGTGGGAATTTCTTGTGGGGGTGTAGTTTGTATACTGCATCCTATTTGATGAGTAGCTATTAAACTCCTACTACACACAAGAGGATGGCAATGGGAAGATGCCTGGGGTGATGAGATCCTAACCTTAGGGCTTTCCCAAACTCACAAAATTAACAACCCCAGACTGCGAGGACGTTTGTGTTTATTATCTCTGTTCCTCCTCGGCGCCTGGAAGCACCTAAATGCACCTGGCACTTAGAAGGCCTTCAGTATCTGCTGAGTGGCCAAATGAGGGCCAAATAGGAGTGTGTACAAAATATTAGGACTGCTTATCTTCAGAAAAGACCTCCATAGAAAGAATCGCCTGCTCAGTAACTTAAAGTGAGTGCTCATGGTCCAGTATTCCGTTTTAAAGTCATCTGCCGTTGATTCAGGGCTGACTTACACACATTTACCGAAGGCCAGCTGTATACGGGCACAGGAGAGCCTGCCCACCAGGCGCCTAGAGTATAGAAGGGAGACGTGGTAAGTGCTGAGAAAGGATGCACTCCCGTTGGAGTTAAGCCGCACTGCAGGCCACTGTTGAACTTCTCTGGGTTTGCTTTCATCATCATTACAAGGGAGAGGTTAGACTGAACCTTAGAACTTCTTTCAGACATGTGATTATTTGATTTTTGTGACTAGTTCTTCCTCAAACGAAGGTTGAGAACATACTGTTTATCAAAACACATGCATCCTTAGCTAGGTGTGGTGGCGCATGCCTGCATTCCCACTTACTCAGGAGGCTGAGGCGGGAGGATTGCTAGAGACCAGACTGGGTAATATAGGCAGATCTGTCACTTGGGGGAAAAAAAAAAAAAGCTTCACATGCACTCTCCAACTCCAGACCCCAAAAGAGGTATTCCAAAACCACGGGGATAGATAGAAAAGAAAAACAGCTCAGAGCAGTATGAGCCATGTGAGGTATGCAGAATTTATCAGGCCACAGCGACGTAAGCATGGAACTAAAGTCATGCCCTGCCATGCCCAGGGCCAGTTCTTCAAACGCATTTTGTTTCTGCCCAGCTGCCTCACCCAATTATCTTTTCCCTGGAAATTTTGATACAAAAAACAATGTATAGCCAATCAGTAGCTTATGTTATTTTAATGTAAATTCTTGGTAACTTAGAAACTGCCTCTTCCTTTAAAAGCCCACTTGTGACTGCTGCTGATGGGAGCATGTATTCAGGGCAACTTGAATCAATGTTCTTGGGTTGCAGTTCTCAAACTTGGCCTGAATAAAACCTGCCGGTCCTGTTTTTGCTTATTTTGTAGTAAGATTTAATTGTTCTGAAAACAAAGTGTGCATTTGGTTGTCTTCGTGACATAAGTTAATTTTCTTTGTAAAATTTAAAATATTGGTTAAAATTTAGGATTCCATCCATTGGAATCCCTGAAAGTTGTGGACTTAAACATTGACTTCTCTTTTTTCTTTCTCTTACAGCTGTTTGGGGCAACTTCGTTAATATGAGGTAATTGTTTTTGATTACTTGGGTACTGTGGTTGGATTTTATAGACACATTTCAGTTGGGACATACATACCATGAATGTCATGGTTTAATTAAAGGTATATTTTAAAAACAAAACTGGGTTCTTACTATTCACATATCTGAGGTGTTTCTTTTCTCCTGTCGGTATTCTCAAGGAATGCAGCTGATTTTAACAATTACCAAGTAAAGCCCACAAGTAAAGCAGTGGTCACCCACCCCTCCCTTACCTCCTGATGTAGATAATAAAGGGTTGACCCTAGCTTATGTAAATTGTATTTCTGGGTGGCTTGAGCAAGAACACTGAGGGGCTTTTGCAAAGCCTTTTGAGAAGGGAGCTGTCTTCGGGAAGCCATGGCTGGCCCGGGACCCCAGGGGGCCAGTTAGTGGATATCGATGCAGAGACCACCTATTTAGTCCAGCGTTAGGCCTGTATGCATCGTGTGTGCTTCACAGGGCAGGAGGCACTCTTGTAAAAATAAAACCCTTGTGTTATCTCTTTACCAAATTGAAAAAATAGCCTTTAAAAAAAATCAGCAGAAAGAAAAGCATTTATTGTAAAAAAAACAAATTTGGTACTGTTAATAGTTTTCCATGTAAAGGAAAATTTGCTCCCCTTGGTTATGTTGTGAGAATCACTGTTGTGATGATTAGGTTGGTATTGTAATGTAATGCGGCTGCACATGTCTACCAGAGTAAAAGGTTACTATGCCCTGAGGAGACTTTTCATGTGGAGTTGGGTTTTGCAAGATGAGTGGGACAGTGTCGATTTGATTCCTACCACCAGGGCATGTGTGTGTCTCCTGACAAAGGCTGCTGTGTATGACTAGGTGGGGTGCTCAGATCCCATTTAAAGGAGCTCTGTGGTTTTACTTAAAAGACTCCATTTTTGCGTGAAATCCCCAGGAAAGCCCAGCAGGCACAAACATACACTCCTACAGACACACTTCCTGCTTCTAATTTAAAATCCTGTGTTGGATGTAGCATAGCAGTGAGATTAGTTTAGTTTAGTGGAAATAATCCATTAGGTAATACTGAGCATGTTCATAGATGGATTTAAGGGGATTCCCTCCCTTTGGTTGTCTTCTTTTCCTCTGGTGCATCCCTTCTGGAGGGAATTGTACACGTGACTGATAGTTGAGCAGGAGACAGAGGTGGTCTGCATCCTTTGGGTTATGTTAGGGTAATTTATTCAGAAACAGTCTTGAAGTCACAAAGCCTTTCCGTTGATCTCAGTTTTATAGCTTTCTACTCAACAGGTCTATCCAGGAAAACGGGGAACTAAAAATCGAAAGCAAGATTGAAGAGGTTAGTCTCTTTTCTATTTTTGTATCTATTTTGTCTGTGCGCTTGTCAATTTTGCTTCCTTTGCTCGTGCTGTCATTCTTATTGTGGCAGCTTGATGCTGTTCTGTGATTCTGAAACCATGTCTCAAAAAATTACTCCCTTATTTAAGAGGACATGCAATCTGTTACTGTTGGTCCATTTTTGACTTATTAAAACAAGTTCTACCTCAAAGGCAAAATGGATTTAGACTTTTACATGACTTTTCAGGTAAGCGTCTTTTAGAGAAAGGGAAGTGATTGCCTTTGGGAGATAGAGATGAGTACCAACATCCTCTCACTGGCACGGATGCTGAAAAGAAAAATGGCCACCAATTGGATGCTAGGCCAACAAATGTAAAGAATGTCCACATGCACAGATGGAGATGTTGCACACCCACCCAGCTGAAGGCTAGCACCTATGCTTTGTTATGCACTTCCTATTTAAATACATATAGATACAGCCAGACCACTGTAACATGGACTGTGGGGGTGAGGATGGGGGGTTACTTACTTTGTATCTGAAGCCAAATAAGAGCTGGGAAGCTCTTGGGTTGCTGTCTTTTTCCTGAGTCCACAGTGTCTACAGACGTGGATGTGGGTTGACTCACAGCCTGCAACTATGAGCTGCAGCTGGTAACATGAATATACACAGTAATTGCAGAAACAAGATGTTAAGCTTTTGTGGGCCATGCTTAGGGGATTCTTCCTAAAAAGAGATGGATAGTGTTGATCTGTTTTTATGAACCTGAAACACCTTTTACATTCTTCCTAGTAAGATGGGTGAGCAAATACATTAATTGTCTCAGAAACTGAGGCGTTTATGGAGTAAGAGTTCAAATCGACAGTTTACCTGTTCAATTCTAGCATTGTGAGGCAAGTGGTGTATCGTAATTTCAAACCGGAAGTTAATTTGTAGAAGAAATTAAAACCTGTTTTGCCTTATCTGAAACATCAGAATGGGGTGAAAGGAGTTAAGAACTGTGTTTTTGCTTTAAAACTGATTTTTGTTATTGTTCTAGATGGTTGAACCACTAAGAGAGAAAATCAGAGATTTAGAAAAAAGGTATGTGTACTTTTTGTCTTAAGGTCAATAGTTAAAATAAGTTTGTCTCAATTGAGTAATTAATTCTCAGTTTGTTTTCTCCAAACTCTACCAACCTAAATAAATGTCTACATATGCATTTCCCCCGCTTTGAGTGTAATACCCAGATAGAACATTGGGAGAAGAGTCAACCTAGATGTGTTAAGATCTTCCTTGTTGAAACTCTGAATGTCTGAATTTCTGCAAATTTATTACATAGAAGTTGAGGCCAGGCCTCACATTTTCCTTTAACTTCTGCACATATTGATCAGTTGGCTAGAATTCCAAAACAGGACGACAGTCCTCTGGACCTAAAACATAGTACCATATGCAACACCACAAAATAAGAGTGTGGAGCCTGTGGTGTGTCATGTGTAGTCATTTAGCTGCTTTTGTCACCAAAGTTTATGAGGTTTCCAGAATTTAGTCCAGGTGAAGTGGGAGGAAGAATGAATGGAATACGATAGAAACATTTATTTGAGTCAGATTCCAGAGAGAACCTCTCTTCACCCTTTGGGACACTATCGCCCTCAGGTTCTCTCTCAGGCACTCCCAAGGCCGCTGAGCCTCAGGCTCTGGGACTTTCCTCTTGCACGTACTGTATTTGAAAAACAATGTCTGGAGTAGCAGTTGAGTCTTTAGAAATTTTAAAAAGAAAAATGACAGCATGTATTAAAGTTGATGTGATTTTTTTCCCCTTTCTTGGGATGAGTTTGGATGATGTGTGTCAGCATTAGATGAGCCTTTTATCAAGTCCAGAACAAAAATGAAGAAATGAAGAGCAGTTTTTCTTTGATTTTCATTAAATGATCAAAGGGAAATACGATTGGAAAAGCATCATTAAACAAAAAAAAGCATCATTAAACTTTCTTCTTATACTCAACTGAGCAGTCAAGCAAATTGTTAATTTCAGCACTTACCAGAACAAAAGTTGTCAGTAATTTTTAACAGATTCCCTTAGTAATATAAGGTTGCTACTTGTGCTTTAAATTTTTTTTTGCTGTGATTTTGTGCTTCAGTTATACAGCTTGTAATATTTCCTTGGATGGGAGCCAGAAAATCTGCCTTTGATAAGACAGCAGAATTGAGAGATTTTAATTGGAAGCTTTTTTTTTTTTTTTGAAAAATTGGAACGATAAGAAATAACCCAACACACGTTTTATATATTGGTCAAAAAAAAACCAAACTTGTCGACCAGTGATTATTTTCTTTAGATGATAGTATTCATTTATGAAAAGAAAAATGTCTCAATTCGATAACTTCCCTAAGGCAATAGCTTATGAACAAGAGCTCTCAACATGTGAGGATTACACAATCTCTTTGATACTTTTGTGATGTTTTTTTGAGTGTGTGCTTTTAAACTGGACAGAGAAGCACAGATAAGAATTTGATCCTAAGAATTTACTAACACTTTATTCTTGTCAACCTGTGAGACCACCTTGAAAATAGGGGCAGAGGGCAAACATTTGCCTCTGGGGCTGCTTGCAGGTGATTCATTCTGGAATGGTTCTGTCCTTCAGGTTGGTCAGCAAGTCAGGTGATCCACATGCCTGCATTACTGTGTCAGAAGGTCAAGTGCAGGCCTGGCTAAAAAAGCGTGACAATAGAAATTGATGGAACTCCGTCTAGCTTTACTTTTCCTAAGTGTGTGATAAAGATGATCAAACTACCATCTCGACACTGACAAGATAAGAATGTGACTGGAAGTAGGTTTACTTGATGTGCTTGTCACTTTGAGCAAAGTGGCCCCCAAGAACGAAAGATATTTTTGGAAGTTACAGGTTATATATATACAGGGAAAGAAAGAAGACAGTGTCATTCTAGAATCCTGAGTAAATGGATTGTATGTGGGCTTTTTCTCTTTTATCACACTCCCATTGCTTAGTACTTTGATTATATGCCATTTGTTTAATTTTAACTCTGTATCTTTAAATGTTCTTTGAATAGATGGCAAATGATGATCATTTAAATTCTAAGTAAGAATACTACTTACTGGCTAAACAGTAAGTTTTATCTCGAATGGCATAAAACATTAATAATTAGTAAAGTGTTCATTTGGGACTGTAAGTAAAGATTTGTTACCTAGTTCATCCCTCATTCTGCCTCTGCTTGCTGGTTTCTCTCTCGCTTAGGAATGCAGGCCTCAGGCCTCTGCTGCGTTTCGCTGCTTAACCCCTAGTGCCTAGTGTAGAACGGTGCTTAATGGAAAGTTCCCAAATAAGAGGATGAGCCAGTACACTGGGTAGGATTTTCACCTGCTACAGGTCTTTAAGAAGCCTTGTGGGCCAGGCACGGTGTAATACCAGCACTTTGGAAGCCTCGGCAGGCCGGTGGCTGGAGCCCAGGCGTTCGAGCCCAGCCTGGACAACATAATGAAACCTCATCTCTACAAAAAATACAAGGCTGCAGTGGGCTGTGATGATGCCGCTATACTCCATCTGGGGCGACGGAGTGTGAGACCTTGTCTCAAAAAAAGAAAAAAAAGGCCTTGTGCCCCTGCCCAGCCCTGGGTCAGTCCAGCAGGTGCTTGGGAGCACCGGGCAGCTGGCTCAGCATGTGGCCCAGCCAACAGCATCCACATGGTCACTGCACTCTGTCGGTCACTGTGCTCCGTCACCCATTACTGCAAGGAGGAAAACAGGATGACATGCATACTGAGGAGGACCCCACAGGCACCCTCCCCTTCCTGTTACTGTCAGCTATGTATGTGTGGCTTCTCACAGGAAGAAGTGAGGAGTATAAGATAGTTTTTTAAAAGTTTAATTACTTGAGCGTATACATATGAAATCTGAAACTCGGCTGCTACGTATTGAAGAGAAACAAAGCAAGAAACTCAACTATTTTTCGTCTTTTAAATTAAAGGTGTCAGCACACTGCATTTGAAGTATTTTTTAGTCCATCTTACGCCTGTCACTGCGTGTGTCAGGCAACCATGCCTTTGCTTCAGTTCAATTTCTTTGAAGTACATTTCCTGTAATAAAACGGTTTGGCCGTTTCCTCTTGGTATAAGTAGCACACCACATTTCATTTTAAGCTTTCAGATAGGGACTATTCTAAGCTGACAGCTTGGATTAACATTTGTTTCCGTGGCCCCGGATGCACACTCTACAGTCCTGCGCCTCCGCTCCTCACTGAATTGGTTTCTCTCCTGCACCTCGTTTTCCTGTATGTAGCTATACTCCCATTCCCGCGCGGTCCTGACTCTAAAATCGTATACACAATAGAGAAGGAGCCCTGAAGGTGAGTGAGGGGAAGTTACCAGTCAGGGACGGCACCAGCATTTTCACAACACAGTCCGGAGTAGCCCCGGTGCTTGTGAGCAGTCGTGGGAAGGAAAGAGGGTCTCACCTGTGCCACGGCACTGGGTGTGCCACTCAGGGATTGAGGCTGAAGACCTGGATGTCGTGAGCTCAGAGAAATGAGGACAATTGGAGCGGTGTGAGAGGCGCACACAGATAACTCTGAGATTTACAGTGCCGTCCCCCAGCTGAGTTGGTGAGGGAAGAGACGGAATGACAAGAAGTGTTACTTGGCAAACAAGACATGTGTGCTGCTCCCGCCAGTCTAACAGCATCGCTCCTGACTGAAGGCAGAACTTGCACCTGCTCCCCAGCTGCGTGGATAACATTCCCGAGGCCCTTCCTGTGGGCGGCAAGTACTAAAGACACTCGGCGAGCTCACAAGGGGAACCCTGGAGTTCCCACCTATGCCCTCAGACTCTCCCATCTGCTTTTGTAGTCTGCAAGGGGAACTTGAGCTTTTGAGACTCTGGAAGTTCTTAATGGGGGAATTCGTCTGCATTGTAATAGCCCTTTGACTCCCATTTAAGCATGCTCCTGGCTTTCTGGAGATGAGAAACCCCTGCTTCAGGGACTTCTGTCTAATGACCCTTCATATTCCCTTCAGTTCAGCGACCATTAAGGAAGTGCATTCTGTATCCTATATTGCTGTGTCTGTGCTGGGGACAGGGCAGGGATGGACCTGGCCCAACCTCTCCAATTAGTGTAATGACCATAAAGCTGATGTCTCAGATTTTATTTAAAGCACTTTTGTTCCTAACTGAATCACTTTAAAAATGACTATTTCGGCTCTGTGTTTATTACCTCTCACTGGATGTTTTCTATTCTCATCACACTGCCCTGCTCCTGGGACATGAGTGTGGGCTGGGGACCCATGGCACCTTAGGGCAGCAAGAGGGCATCAAAAGATAAGTGAGATTTAAGACGGAGTCAGAGCAGACCCACAGAGACAGAAGATGCTGATGCTCCATTGTTTTACCAGGGACGCTGGTCAGAAAGAGGATGCCGTGACTGTGAAAATTCCTGGAGCAGGAGACAAAGTTTCATTAATACCTTTTCTCACTCTTGCGGGGCAGTCCTCGTGCGTTGGGCCTGTGACTTCACGAAGCTGCTTTCTTCCACCTGGGCCCTGGTGGTGCAGTACCTAGAGAATGCCATGGTTATAGCCTGGTGGGTTCTTCTTGCCCACTGCCCTGAGAAAACCAAGGCACTGAGAACAACAAGTGTTACAGCCAAGAAAGAGTTCAATCGCAGGGCCAGCCACCTGTGAGAATGGGAGCGGTTTCTCAGATCTGCCTCCGTGAGAACTTAGGGTAGTTTGGTGGGCGGGGTCTGGGGAGCTGAAACAATTGATTGGCTGGATGTAAAATCATGAGGGTGTCGAAACTGTCTTCACGCAGCTGAATCAGTTCGTGGAAGCAGAGTCTGAGGACCAGGTGACATCTCTTCATCTGTATGCCAAAATGCTAAATCTGAAAGATACCTCAAATACCGTTTATTTAGGATTCACAGAAGTGATATTATCTGTAGAGGTTATTGGAGAAGTTACAAATCTTGCAACCTCTGTTTGAGTGACTCTGGGGCAGTAAGCAATATACAGATAAACAAGCTAAGCTAAGCAATGGCAGGTCAATGTTTATGCTTATTCTTTAGCAAAGTTCAGACCCTACCATAACTCTAACCTCAGCTTAGGAATGTGGCTTCAATCTCGAAACGAGGAGGGTCAGTTTTCCTTGCCTCAACATTTTACTATAAATTCCTCTCCTAGTTATCTTGGCCTCTGTACTAAAATAAGCAAAAACAACAAAAACAAAAATTTAGCCTGTGAGATTAAAAGCAAGATGGAGCCAGTCATTAGATTTCTCTCATTACAATTTTGCAAAGGCAGTTTCATGTCCATCTTCCTTATGGTGTGGTTTTGTCCGGACTAGTAGAGGTAGTGCCTGCCCTGCTTTAGCAGCTGCTGGAAGCCTGTAGTTCCTTAAGCTTTCGCTTCTCAGAGGTAGAATCTCAAGTCATGTCCTTAGCTTGATCCTAAACAAGGAGCAGGTTAGATAGCTCTTGACCTCAAGTTAACTAGTGACTCCTTGGTTTCTCCAGCACTCATTCAAGAGTAGAGAGAAGGAGCAAACAATAACAGTCCCAAAACCTGACACATGCTTTGATGATAGAGAAAATATTCAGATAGGATGTTTGACTTTTTCCTTTTGAATCTCTTTATATTATGCAGCTTTACCCAGAAATACCCACCAGTAAAGTTTTTATCGGAAAAGGATCGGAAAAGAATTTTGGTAAGTTTGCACACCTGATTAGTATTTGTAATATTAAGAAACTTTCTTTTTTCATTGAGAGATAATTCACATATCATAGAATTCATGCTTCTCAAAGATACAATTCAGTGGCTTATAGTATGTCCACAGAGTTAGCACCGCATTCTGATTCCACAATATTTTCATCACCCCAAAAAGAAGTCCTGTACCCATTAGCAGTCACTTCCATTTCCCAGCCCCCTCCCGCCAGCTCTGGGAAACCACTAAAACTACTCTCTATCTCTATGAATCTGCCTTTTTTGAACATTTCATCCAAATGAAATAATGTGATATTTGGTCTGTCTTCAAGGCTCAGCTCTAGCATGAATCGTACTCTTCATTCCTTTTCATGGCTGAACAATACTCCATTGTATGGATGTACCACATACTGTTTCCCTGTTTCTCAATTGATGGGTATTTGGAGTTGTTTCCACTTGGAGGCTATTGTGAATAATGCTGCTATGAATGCATGTGTGTAAGTTTTTGTGTGGACGTAGGATTTTCAGTTATTTTAGATATACTTAGGAGTGGGATTACTGGATTGTGTGGAAACCCTGTGTTTATCTTTTTGAGGAAGTATGAAACTTGGGAGCTGTGGTTTTTCACCTTTTCTGGTTCACAGACCACTTTGATGAATACCCTGGGGGCTTCCTTGGCTAATAGTGCTCTTTTTGAACATCAGTATAAACTCACCAATGAAAGAAACCCTTTTAACTATTAGGTAACAAATTATGTCCAAAAATATTGCATGTTGCATTTTTTTAAAGTAACAGATTTGTTGAGATATGATTCACATACCATACAATTCCCCCTTAAAATGTATAATTCAATAGTTTGTAATGTATTCACAGAGTTGTACAACCATTACCACATCCAATTTTAGAACCCCCTAAGGAAAGCCTATACCCGTTAGCAGTCACTCTCCATTTTCCCCTAAGGCCTTCCACACCCCAATGCCTAGGCAACCATTAATCTGTTTTCTGTCCATGTAGATTTGCCAATTCTGAGTATTTTATATAGATGGGATAATGCAATGTTTGCCTTTTGTGACTAGCTTTTCTCACTTAGCGTGTTTTCAGGTTTCATTCATGTGGTAGCTTGTATCAGTAGTTAATATATTTTTGTTACCAAATAATCCATTATGTGAATATACCACATTTTATCTATACAGTGGGTTCCATACCTATAGATTCAGCTAACCATGAATTGAAAATGTAGTTAGGCCCACAGTGGTTATGTCTGTACTGAATATGTGCAGACTTTTGTTATTATTCCTTGAACAATACAGTATAACATTTTTACGTAACATTTACATTGTATTAGGTATTATAATTATCTAGAGATGATTTAAAGTATACAGGAGGATGTGTGTGGGTTACATGCAAATACTACACTATTTCATATGTGGAACCTGAGCATCTTTGCATTTAGGTATGGGGGGTGGGGTGTGGTCCTGGAACCAATTCCCTGTGGATACTGAGGGACGACTGTACATTTGTTATATGTGTCATAGGGTGACTCTGTTTAACCTTTCGAGGAACTGCTGTTTACCAGAGCAGCTGCACCATTGTACATTTCCACCAGCAGTATATGAGGGTTCCAGTTGCTCCACATCCTCAACACCACTTCTTACTGTCTTTTTGATTGTAGCCTTTCTACTGGGTGTGAAGTGATATCATTTTGTGGTTTGAATTTGCATTTCTCTGATAGCTCGTGGTGTTGAGCATCTTTTTGTGTGCTTATTGGTCATTTCTATGTCTTCTTTGGAGAAATTTCTATTAAATACTTACCCTATTCTTTAATTGGGTTATTTTTCTTTTCATTATTGAGTTGAGTTCTTTATATATTCTTGATTCAAGTTTCTTATCAGGTATATTATTTGCAAATATTTTTTCTCATTCTGTGGGTTGTCTTTTTACTTTCTTGATGGTGTTCTTTGAAGCATAAATGTTTTAAAGATGAAGTCTGTTTTTTTCTCTTTTGCTGCTTGCACTTGGGTGTGTCTTATTTAAGAAATCATTGCCTAAACTAAGGACACAAAGATTTACTGTGTTTTTTTCCTAAGAGTTTTATAGATTTTGTTCTTAAGTTTAGGTCTGTGATCTATTTTGAGGTAGTTTTTGAATAGGATATTACATCATCATTCTTCTGCATATGGCTGTCCAGTTGTCCAGCACAATTTATTGAAAAGACTATTTATTGCCCAGTGAATTTTCCTGGCACCCTTGTTGAAAATCATTTTACCATAAATGTACAGTCAAGCATCACTTAACAATGGGGATACGTTCTGAGAAATGCATTGGTAAGTGTTTTTGTTGTTGTTCTGTGAGCATCACAGAGTGGACTTACACAAACCCAGATGGTACAGCCTACTACACACTTAGGCTGCGTGGTATGACCTATTGCTCCCAGGCTGCAAATCTGTATAGCATGTTGCTATACTGAATACTGTAGGTAGTTTTAACAAAGATAAGTATTTGTGTTCATCTGTATAGGTCACTTACCACAAACGGAGCTTGCAGGACTAAAAGTTGTTCTAGGTGAGTCACTGAGTGAATCCCTTATAATTAACTAATTTCCTATTTGGTACCTTTCCCTTCTCTTTCCCTGTAGAATCCAGTTACTATCTGGGGTCACTTGCTTTCAGCCTGAAGAACATCCTTTAGTATTTCTTGTGTGGTAGGTCTGCTAGCAATGAGCTCTCTCATTTTTTGTTTATCTAGGGATGTCTTATTTTTGAAAGTTATTTTTGGGTGTATATAAGATTGTTGACTGCCAGTTTATTTTTACACTTTAAATATGTTGATAGAGTTTGGATATTTGTTTCAGCCTCCCAATCCCATGTTGAAATTTGATCTCCAGTGTTGGAGGTGGGGCCTAGTGGGAATTATTTGGGTCATGGGGACAGATTCTTCATGAATGGCTTGGTGCACACCTCACTGTAATGAGTTCACACGAGATCTGATTGTTAAAAAAGAGTATGGGACCCCCTTCTCCTCCCTCTCTTGCCATGTGACATGCCTGCTTCCCCTTAGCCTTCTACTAGGATTGAAAGCTCTCCAAAGCCATCACCAGAAGCAGATGCTGGAGCCATGCTTCATGTACAGCCTGCAGGACCGTGTGCCAAATAAACCTCTTTGCTTTGTAAATCACCCACCTTCAGGCATTCCTTTATGGCAGCACAAAATGAAGTAATACGTATGCCATCCACTGCTTTCTCCATTGTTTGTTGTAATGAACCAGCTGTTAATCATATTGGGGTTCCCTTATATGTGACAAGTCATTTTTCTTTTTCTGCTGTATGAATTTCCTAGGATTTGTGTAACAGTTACCACCATCTGAGTGGTTTAAAACAACAGAAATTTAATCCCTCGCAGTTCTAAAAGATAAAAGTCTGAAATCAAGATGTCAGCAGGGCCATGCCTATGTCCCTCTGAAGGCTCTGAGGGGAATTTTCCCCATGCTTTTCTCCCAGCTTGTCTTATTGCCAGAAATCCTTGGTGTTCTTTGGCTTGTACAGACATCACTGTAGTCTCTGCCTCCAGCAGCACGTGGGTCCTTGTTTGCTTCTAGTATTGGATTAAGGTCCCACCCTAATCCAGTAAAACCTTTTCTTAACTAAATACATCTACAGGGGCTTTATTTTCAAATAAAGTCACATTCTGAAGCTGTGGGACAGACATAAACTTTGTAGGACAGTATCCAACCTAGTACAGCTATTTTCAAAATATTATCTTGTCTGTCTTTGGTTTGTGGGATTTCTAGAACGATGTATCTGTGTGCATCTATTTTTGTTTGTGCTCATCCTAATTGCAGTTCATTGAACTTCTTGAATATGTACATTCATATGATCATCAATTCTGGGGAGTTTTCAGCCATTATTTCTTTGAATACGTTTTCTGATACTCCCAGTGCAGCATGCATGTCGACGCACTTACTGGTGTCCTGTATTTGTCTGAGGCTCTGTGTAGTTTCCTGTATTTCCTCTGATCTTGGGGTTACATAAGCCCTTTCAATCCAAGTTTGCTGATTCTTTAGCCCAGTTCTAATCGACTGTTGAATCCCTCTGTTGAATTTTTAGTTTCAATTGTGGTATTTTTCAACTCCAGAATTCAATTTGTTTCTATTTTGTAATCTCTCTTTATTATCTATGTACTACTTTAAGTATGGTTTCCTTTCGGTCTTTGAACACTTGCCATTACTTTTAATGGCAAAAACTGCAGTTACTTTTGCACCAACCTAATATTTATGGTGGTTGCTTTGGTGTCTTTGTTATATCCAACTCTGGGGACTTCATACAGACAGTTTTTATTGATTTTTTTTTTTTTTTCTGTTTGTGGGTCACCCATTTCTGTTTCTTCACATGTCTTGTAATTTGATGTAGAAAACTGGGCATTTTAGGTAGTATATTGTAATGTAGCACTTCTAGATACTGTGCCCTCATCCCAACCCCCACCTTCCCCAACTTGTTTTATTTTATTTACTTGTTTTTTTGTTTAGTGACTTGTCAGGTCTACTTTAGTGAAGTGTTCCCTATTCCCTCCCCGCCACTCCAGTGTGAAGCTTTAACTGTTGATCCTTGGAGGATGTAGCCTTGGCCACACCCCCTGGGATGATGGTGGCTCTAACAGGCTTATGTTGACAGTCTCTTTCCCTGATTTCTCTATTAAGCCTGTGCAGTATCTCACCCAGCTGTTAGGCTGCCGGGGTTGCTAGCTAATTGCTTTATTTTTCAACAAGGCTGTGTGTTTTAAATTGCTCTTCAGCCTGATTCAGTTAAATTCTGTCCCCTTGGCAGGGGTAGATTTTGAGACCAGTCTTTGAGGTTTCTTAAGTGTCCTCTGCCTGGTTCTTTCTGTTAAACAAGCTGGCCTTGGATTTAGCTTTTTATTCTCATGGATCTACTGCCTTCTATGTATTGCTTACCATCTGCATCTCCGTTGTTCTTGAGAGCACCCTTATGCTTGAACTTCTCCACTTTC